ATAGTAATACTACAGTACTACTACTACTACTACTACTGCTACTGAAGAACTAGAGTAGTACTACAGTAATACTGCTTAGCCACATAAACCTAAAGATGATGGTATGTCAGTGTTGTGTTAGCATCTTGTGCTACCCTCTAAAAACCTGTAAATGCAGCTTTCAGAAGATTAGAAGTGAACTCAACTGTTGGATTCAGTACCGCTCGATACTTTCAGAGCGATGGCAGCGCTTTGCTGGGCTCTTCAATTGGATCATTTTTAAACTCTAGCGTACTCTTGCTAGTTTCTCAACATTACCAATCCTAGCATTAGTGTCGCCCGTCTGAAGCATCAGAATGGTGGAGGTAACCACTGAGAACGCCCATCCACACACTAGTAAACCCTTGTGCTCCTCTCCGGAAGGTTTCTAAATGCCCCTCTGGCTGCAGACTGCAGGGTTTGATCTCGCAGACGGAGAGCAAGGTGGAGAGGAGACTGAGGAAGGTGTGTAAGATGGCAAAGATGTACGAAGACGCGGCTGAGAAGTCCATGACGGCGATGACGCACATCTACAGCCACAACCGGAGAGTCATCGTCAACAGACACAGTAAGACTGACTTGTTATGTATTCTGGACTAAAGCAATGCTGGCTGATGAACACAGTATTCGTCTCCAGTGTGAGAGCTGAAGCCGGTGGAACACTCTGAAGGATTGGCGAGGAACCTCACGTCCCTACGGAGACGGTCGTCCCGGCTGTCGCTGCAACTCCAGGAGCTGAGCGCCAGCGTCCAGAAACAAATGGAGGACATGTATCGAACAGAGGTGAGACCAGACGAGAGGTCGTGGGCCCCTCAGCTCTACGCAGCGTTTTAGCATCTTTCAGCTTTTTGTTTTGGTTTATAGGCAGCGTTACTGCTCCGGTAGTGTGTATGTGTAGTGTTTGTGTCAGTGTTGTGTTTACATCTTGTGCTACCATCTGAAATATCTGTTGAGCAGCTTTAAGTGAATGAAATCAAACTTATTGTGATATCACATGAACTCATATCCTGTGTTATAATAACACAGAAGTCTGACCTTAGCCCTACAGGGGAATAATAATATGAGTGTTGTTGTACGTCTCCAGGTGGACATTGACTTGAAGCTGCGAGCCTGCTACGGGTCCTGCCGGTTGGTGTTACCGTTCAGCATCGATCACCTCGGCTATCAGACGCTTCGGGCCGACGAGAGTCTCAGCCGGAGGAGGAAGGCCGCTCCGCCTCCCAAAGACATCCCACGCATGAAGCTGCAGCCTGTCGACGTCGGCCCGGCTCCGCCCCCAGAGTACAGGACCATCCCGGCGGTCCGGAGAGAACTGTTGACCCAGTTTGAGGACATCGGACAGAACCGGGTCGTTGTGGAGGAGCTGCTGGAGGCTCTCCACCCAGCAGAGCTGAGGCAGGTCTGACGGCTCACGTGGAAGTAAAGAATGTGTGTTTCTTTTAAAGGTCCATTCCAACAAACACAATGACTGTTTCTAGTTCTGTTTGTTCACAGCACCACGCTCCCTTTAACGTGCACACTCTCTGTTACTGTCACCACCTTCAACTTGTTCTGTCGTGTTTTAAAGGTAAAGTTGGTCGTCAGCCAGATTTACTTGATTTAAAATGTTTTACCTGAAACATCTCAAACAGGTTTTTCCCTCATTTTTAAATGAAATATTAACATACATATACTTCTGGTATTTGTATTACTGTTGATATACATTATACTGTAACATGTGTTATATACATACTATACTATGTTATTGTTATTATCACATATTACTATAATACCTTAGTGTATTCTGTACCGCTATACCATGTAAATATGTATAATGTTAACCACATCATATACAATATTATATTTCTGTTTGTACTGAACTCACTGCATGTTTTTCATTTGTATTATTAACAGAGCAGTTAATAAAAGACATAATTCTCTCTGCTCACTCTTGTCCTATTTAGCTTTATTCTTATAAAGTAGTTTCTTGTCGAAAGCTTCCATTAATCAGCACTCGTGGTCAGTTCTTACTTGTCTTGGAACTATATTTTCATGGATCATTTTGACAGGCTGGAGCTTCAGCAGGGACATAAAAGTGACGAAACGGTGACCGTGGTTCACTGGCCTAAGAGGGTTGTCTGGTAACCGCAAGGTTGATGGTTCGATCCTTGACTGGGACGTGTCATGTGTTGTGGTGTCCCTGAGCAAGACACTAAATCCAGCAGCCCACTGCTCCCTATATACAGGGATGGGTCAAATGCGGAGACAAATTTCCCCCTTAATGGAGATATAGTAAAATAAATACATTTTCTTTTCTACGGTCTCTAAAGTGCAGTGAAAAACCAAAGGAGCAGACAGAAAGTACGTTCCTCAACGTGTTTATTGAGTAGTGGAGGACAGCAACTCGTCCTAGTCGTGCACACTGAAGACGACACACATTCACTCACAACCAGTTTCTCTTTTCTCTGACGTCAAACAGTTTCTCATTTCTCTTTCTTCTGAAGTTAAACGCTGCATCACTTTGTGAAAACAGTTGTGTGTAAACGTGCGTGTCCATCAACACAAAGGTTACAGCTGAAATAAAGGACACACATGAATATTAGTCGAACACTACAAAGAGTTTTGAAGCTTTTCTAGTGGCTCTAGTTTGGCCCCCATTTACTTTGGTGTCTTTTATTTTGGCGGTTTCCTGTATGTGTTACGTGTGCGCGTGCTCTCCGACACGATTAGCTCGGTACGGCAAAGTACGGCCTCATCTTCATGCTCATGGCCTTCAGCGAATACCAGCTCCCCTTCCAGTTCATCCACACCATGCCGTCGTCGGTGCCGTGCTTGGCCATTTGGCGCGTGTAGGCTCCGCCCATGTAGTATCGGCCGTTGGGATTGGCCGAGTGGCAGCGGTTGTACCACCAGCCGCCGCCGTCCTCCCTGGCGCACTGTTTGGAGGGATCCCCGGGGATCCTGGTTCAGGGAAACAGGGACAGAGAAAGGTGATATATGAAAAACCAGAGGGAATGAATTGATGCAGGAATTTATTGTCAAGTTGGGGGAAATGTTAACGTGTGAATTTGTGCAGTTGACCAATGGCAAAGTACCTTGATAGAGGAATTAAGCCTTTTTTAGCTAATTAGCGGTGCAGCAGCAGCTACTTTAAGTTAGTCCACCTCTGCTGGAGTGGATAAATGCTCCACACGAGAGAAACAGTTGTTAAATGAAAGGAGTCCATGGTACAAATATGCAACTATGTGAACTTGGCAATGGCGTGTTATACGTTAGCAGCAACTAGCTGTTGATTTCTTCAAACCCCACTATAGAGTATCTTTTAGAGGTGTGAGAATGTTTAGTTCACATGAGCCTGAATAGCTGGATCGTTTGGAGGACTTGTTGGTTAACTGAATTGCCAGTGTTTTGGGTTTTGTCACCATCATCGGGACACTTACCAGTTGTCGTTGTCTCTGTCGTAGGTGCTGAACATCATGCTGTTGTGAACGGTCATCGTGCGGTTTTCACCGAACAGTTCTGAGGAGCCCTCCAGTAAACAGTTGCCAGCGTTGCCGGAATAACCGTTGACCGCCAGCAGGTAGTTGGCCGTCTCTGTCATGACGGTGAACTGGCGATACTGGGCATGGACCTACACGAAAGGTTGAGGAGTCAAAATTAAATTATCAAAAATACTAAATATGTTAGTTTAGCAATAATGAAACATTGGTTAATATTAGTACAAAGACTGTTGTTGCCACTGTTCAATGACGTCTTTATTACTTTCTTACGACATAGAATACTGACTCTTTAATATTTATTAGGACAAAATATACTATGATTTTATATGTTGTTAGTTACAACTTGAAGTACTATATCTTTTCGACATGCATTACTATGACCTTTTTTTTTTACTTTTTTCCAACATGCTATACTATGACTTATTTTTTACATTTTGTGACATAGTGATTTATTTCACTGAAACTAGTTTTTCATTTAGTTGTGAAATTAAACCCCCAAGGAGAACTGACTCAGAAAAGAAATTCCATATTCCTATTTCTTTTTGTCCTTAAAATAGTTTTTTATCCGTCAAAAATCAAAAAGATTTCTACTTTACTATCAGAAAAGATAAAGAAAAGTAGCAAATTCCTACATTTTAGAACCAAATACCTGAGAAAGTTTGGAATTTTTGCTTCAAATATGACAAACCATTTCGAAAATATTTGCAGATAAACTTTCTGTTGATCACTTAATAATTTCTACTGTAAATAGACACACAGAGGACTCACTTTGGTTCCTGTCCAGTCCTCCATCTCAAAGAGAATCTCAGTGGGGCCCATCTTGGTGATTTGACTAATACGATCATTGCCCAGCCAGTGTTCACCTGTCAGGTGACGGAGGAGAAAGGGACGCCAGTCAACCACAAATCACAGGAATAATGCTGCATATGAATATGTAGGTAACTGCCAAAATTAAGATTCAGCGACATGATTAGATAACAAAATGGTTTCAACCAGCGGTGGAAGAAGTATATATTTAATACCACACTTTAGAAATACTCTGTAACAAGTAAAAGTACATTCTAAAATAAACATTATAGTTGCGCAGAACGGTCAATTTTAGATTAATGTATATTATTATATTGAATTACAACTATTGATGCATTAAGGTGTCATTTTAATGTTGAATGGTGATCTTATAGTTTACTATTTATAATGCTGGGTAGCTTATGAATTTCACCAAGGAATAAATAGCTTTATCTTTCTCAATGATGATAACATACATTTATTTGGTGCTTATATTTAACTAGTAAAAAGTACAATACAATATAATAAATATAGTGAAGTAGTCTTACAAATTAATCAAGCAAAGTACAACTACCTAACTAAATTGTACTCAAGTACAGTTCTCGAGTAAATGTACTCAGTTACTTCCCATGGCTTCCACTCCCTTCAGCACCCTCTAGTGGTATACGTTAGAAGTCTTACCTGGAGTCTCACAGCGACCCTTGCCAGCATCGAAGGCGGTGTTGCCGAAACCGCGTCGATATTCGTCCCAGCGTCGGCCGAAGTCGACACTGCCATCAAGCCTGTTCTGGATGAGGACCCATCCTGGGGGGGGGGGGGGGAAGAAGGTCTCTTTTAAACACAGATTCCTCAACCAAAGGCCCAAAATATCCAAAGTATTAACAAACTAAGTTTAGGTGGCCTAACTGAGTTCTACGCTCACCTCCGTTCTGAGTGGTCTGATCACAGAAGACCTTGTATGGAGGTAAGAAGGCGTCGGGCTGGATGAAGTACATCTGGGAGTCTTTTCCTCCACGACGAAAGATGTCCTCACACTCCTTACCTGAATCACACAGGAGAACAAGTTCACTTACTTTTGTGTTCTACCAAAAGCTACAAGATTGGCGGTAGCCATCTTGGTTTTTCGTCGTCGCATCTTGTTTTTTCTCAACCAGTGAACAGGAAGTGATCATATCTGGACTGAGGAGGAGTGACGTAGAGACGCCATATACGTCTCTGGTAGAGACCTGTCAATCACCGTGTAGCCCCGCCCTAAAGCATCCCCTGCTTTATGGTCTGTGTGACTCTAAATGGACCATAATGTACTAAATGAACATCATGCTGTATTGAAGAAGACTTGAAACTAGAGATTGAGACCATAAACTCATGTTTACAATGTTTACTGAGGTAATAAATCAAGAGAGAAGTAGAGTCATTTTCTCATAGACTTCTATACAACCAGAGGAGTCGCCCCCTGATGGACACTAGCGAGAGCTTCACTTTTCAGACCCAGAAGTTGTCGCCTGCGTATATTGAACATTGCGACCTCTAGGGGTCACCACACTTACCAGACACCACCGGTATGGGACAGGTGGTCTTGCACGGCTCATTGCACTCCTCTCTCTGGCCCTGGATGGCCTTCTCCAGCTTCTGGATCTTCTGCCTGATCTTGTCCAGGACCCCCTGCAGCCACACAGCACACGGTATACAGTGCATTACATCAGGGGGTGTTGGATACACTACATTAGTATATTGTATACATTTATTTTTGTTTCAGTCTTTCTTTGCAATAGATTCAAGCTCATCATCTATTTCTCTCCAAGGTGATGCTTTACTTACAGCTAAAAACAAGAAGCATGATTAATAAGGTGTCAGCTCTTATTTACCTGTAGCACTCTGATGCTGGAGGGGAAGGTGGAGTCCACCGTCTCCTTGATGTAGGCGTGTTGTTCCTCCACCCGATCAGTGTACTGACTGACCACCCTGTTGTTGTCTGAGACAGGCAGAGAAACAACTCAGGAGGTGCACAAAGGAACAATTCGAAATGTTTAGATTGTACAAAACCATTGAAGTAATAAATCATTTTTGGCATGCATCGTATGAAATGATGTTGAACTACGTTTGTATTATTATGTTTAACTTATTATGTGGAAGTTTCAGAGAAAGATTGGAAAGAGGGAACAGTGTTTAATCTCTTTGTTTGCACCTGTTTCTTCTCTTCACTGTATTTGACGTTTACAGTTTTGCCACAATTCTTTCACACAACACAAGTTCACCTTATCACCTCGATGAGCATTCATTTTAATGTTGGAACACACAACTTTCTGTGTATTAACATGTTTTCCCGACAGTTAATACCTTTTTTAAACAAGGTCAGAAATTCGAGGAGTTTAAATGGGTAAATACTACTCTACTCTAAATATATTCTACTCTACTGCAATGCACTCTTCTGTAATAACTGTCTGAGATTGATTAACTGTGAGGTGAACAACAGGATAACAAAGTGGATCAAATACTTTGTTAAACATTCATTTATTCATATCAAGTGACGTAACTATACCTCAAAAAGAAACATCATTACAGTTTTACCCAAAGAAGAAGAAAACGTTGAGAAGAGCACTTGAAGGCTCTCGTTTCATTATAAACTATCAAAAGGATCATGAAGGCGTCCTGATTGGTTGAACCTTGACTAGCGGATCCATTTCGTGAACCTTAATTTACCGACATTATCCGGCTGATCTGGAGTCAGACTCACCGCCGACGATCCTCTGCCTCTCCCTCAGAGAGTTGGAAATGCTGTTGACGTAGTTGTAGATGGTGTTGGAGGATCGGGACAAATCATCCACCTGAGGCTTGAGCTCATTAATGCTCTGTGAGAAGAAATGGAAGCAACAGGAAGTCAATCCACAATATGACAGCAAATGAATTCCATTTAATCTAACATTTAGAGTTAGAGCAGCCAACATATCCTCCCATATTCTCTCATTGCTGAGATAAAGTTCACTTTTTACCGTCTTGACGTTCCTCTCTTGCTTCAGCAGCATGGTCTTCAGCTCGCAGCCAGTGGGACACAGAACACCCTGATGGACGAGAGAATCTCTGTTAGATGTCTGTCAATCACTGACTAAAGGAAGGGGGGGCTCCAAGGCAGCCATTGACTTCCTTCTATCCATCAACAGATTTATGGATGAAAATCAATTAGCAGATATCAAACCTGCTCCAGACAAGTGAATCAATGTTTTTATTGGTTAAAACAAATGGCTTTTTCTGACATTGGAGTTTTGAGATTTGGGGAATTTGTTTCTTCAAATAAACGCCTCAAGAAGAAAGAGTTACAGACCTGCATCATGATCATCTGGACCAAAACAACAATGTGTAGGATTTTGAATACCAAAGTTCAAGTTTCTGCCTTTTGTTCTTTTGTTTTTATCCTGAAATGAAGTGTAAACCTGGAACAAAGGCGTCTACAAACGTGCGCTAATGCTTTTGACATCGTCCAGCAGAAACGTGACACAAACATGTGGAATGGGCGGTCGTGTGGGCGGGTGGGTGATCGTGTGCGTCCTACCATCTCCTCTGCGGCGTGCGTGCATCCTCCTTCATCCGGCTGCTTCTCCTTCTCCTGCAACTGCTGTCCTGCGACTGGAGGTGGGGTGGGCCGGCCGCGATACCTGGGACGAAAAAGCACCAAAGAAATATAATAATAATAATCTGCTGGATCTGTAACAATATTTTATAAACTGACCACATATTAATTTTGACAAACTATAGCTGCTAAAAAGTGTATTGAAGTGAAAAGTATATCACAATATTTGCTTCTGAAATGAAGTAGAAAGTACTATAAAATGGAAATACTCAAGTACAGTACTTGACTAAACTAACTGCATTTATCTGACAGCTGTAGTTTTCAATATTTTACCATCAAGTCATACACTCATCTTCTAAATGCACAGTTATAGATTAAATCATATAAAAGTATTCATATCAGCTCACCCATTAAAATAAAATAGTAATGCATCAGGAATGATAACTCAATAATATATTAAAACGCATGAAAATGACCCATTTAGAAAAATAACTTCTGATACTTTCAGTAAATGTTGCCGCTGTTTCTGTACTTTGTTAAATGTAATACCGTTAATGTTAAATATGTATACATCAATATGAACGTGTCTTTTATTTGGTCAGGTGTCCGTGTTTGAACGTACCTGCCGCCGCTACTGATAGGGGGCGGGGCATAGCGGTTGCGGGTGTAGCTGTCCCCGCCCCTTGTTAGCGGACGGTGACCACGAGCGTCTACGGTCCCGGCTTTGGCCTGAGGGGAGACAAGAGGAAACAGGACGTGAGGAGGGAATACAAAAATATATCAAAATAAATGTAATTCATGATACAAATCAAGCATTTTCTACTCACTGTTTCATTCTTTGTAGACGATGCCTTGTTGTCCAAAGATAAAAGAAAAATATTGTGACATATTAGAAGATTAAAATCCATTTTTCTTTTCAAACTTGTATTTGTGTAAAAGCTGCATTTGTTTGAGGACTCTATAATATGATCGTATACAATGTATACTATACATGGTAGTTTAGGAGCTGGACCTCAAACTGAATGCATTATTACTGTACATGTAATCTGGTGATGAAGAGAAAGATGTCACATCTTAGATGATGCACAGTGTCATAAATACACACAAAAAACTATTACATCACAAAATAAGTGTCTGAAAGTGTAAAATGCCTTTTTTATATTTATATTATATTAAAATAAATCTACATTGAATATGCTCTTAACAGAATATCTGACATATTAAACTCTAAGAACAGTAACTAACAGATATCACCATGATTACTTACACTAAGACATTTTGTATTAAATTACAATCTGAAATGTAAAATATGCAAATAAGGCATTATGTAATGCTAACTTATGATAAATCTACAGACGGAAATATAGAAGAATTAATAAAATAAATGTTTTCTTTCCACTAATCTGAAATAAAATGTGTTTCCACCTTAAACATATTAATAATACACAACTACTAACAACATCATACAGGTCAGGAAGAGACGGTGAATTAATACATGTTGTCATATTTTATGTTGATCGAGTTTACGTTATATATAAAAATGTGCGTTTGGCCTTTTTTAGATTTCATTTGGTGAGTAAAGGTTTGTATGTACAGACAATAAAGTTAGAGATCCATATAATTCATTAAAAAATGAAATAACAAGGTTTGATTCATTGACTTCATTTAATTTTTTTGTAGAAATATTTTTTTAAAGTGATGATTTCACTGTACGGTAACATTTAAATATTGTGATTCACGGTAAAACTTTCAGGATGTCACCAAAGTGAAGCACTCACCATATCATAGTCGTCATAATCCAGGTTGTCCAGAGCCCAGACGGCGGACAGACACAGACACACACACCCACACAGCAGCGTCCTCATCGTGATGAAGTTACTCTTCTTCTTCTCAAATCCTCGTCTTCAGTGCGCCTTCACTCCTTCTCTCCTGCCCTCACATCTGACGCCACCCGCTATTTATCCTGCGGGTCAACTTCTTATCGATCTGCTGGAAACGAAAAAAGAACAGTCAACATCTGCCGGGGACAGTTTACCCAAACCTGAGTCACCGCTGCTCCCGGTCAGCCTGCTGGCGGAGGAACCAAAGGGCAAAAGGGCAAAAGGGTTGAAGGCTTTACTGATACGTCTGAATCTGATGATGTGTGTAAGAGACAACGTGTCCAATAATACAGCTTTTAACTTGTGTTGTTCGTTTTGACGTGAGGTTACACGATCTTTAAACGTTGACATTCAGCATCGCCAGTGTAGAAATACTCTTTTATGAGTACAGGTAGTATTACCAGCAGTACTCTCTGTCCAGAGAGTTAAGTTAGATACATAGTAACATGTAACAGATTCTGGTTCTTGTTTGAATGAAATGTTCAGATTGTTTCTATTCTTTGCTTCTTAATCACAAATCCTCTAATATTGAAAAATAACGTTTGTGTACAATAAAAGATATTTATCAATCAACTGAGACCGTCACCTTTAATTAGCCGCTCATTAGAACGTGTAACGTAAATCAGGCAGAATGAGGCAGTGGAACGCGTTTTAATGGAGAGTTCATCACGACTTTCTGCATTTTACAAACTGACAAACTTGTTACAATAGTTTTGATCGAGTACACGTATTTATTCAGACTTCCTTATTCTTTTATCTGCAACAATAATCTTACAGTTACAGATTCAGACATCCGGTAGTTTTAAACCGAGTATATTATTACAAGTTTCAGCCCAGAGTAAATAAATAGGAGTTGTGTAGTCTTTCCGGCCGTGAGGGCTCCATGCTGGGAAATGAGTGTGAGGGTTACTTCATGACACCCAGGCAGCATGTGTCACTATGTGCACAAACACTGACTTTAGTCTGATTGATGATTAATATCTCTCCCATTATTAGAGTAACTCTCTGTTTAGTGAACACTAGTTCTGAGAGGAGAGATTCTCCTCTCAGTCAAAGCTGGTTTTGTTTTTCCAGTTTCGTGAAATTAGAACGATTGAGCAACTGAAGTGTGTTTGAGTCCAACCGGTTGGTGGTGCAGCGTTGTGAAATGACAAACATTGTATTTACCTTCTGCACATAACTCTGTATGTTTCTGTGGTGTTCCTAAACAAACACCAGCTGCCTCGTTTAAAACTAGAAACTAGGAATCAAACTTTACATTTTATCATCTCAGACAAGAAGAAATATGTAAACAAACACATTTTGTTAATGTATATTTTTTTATTTTATTTGCGTTGTAATTTGAGGGCACACACTACACATGTAAAAGAAGAATTAATCAAACACCTTTACTCCTGCTTTCATTCATACTAACACAGCTAAGTGTGCATCGATAGCTTTAATGATGTCAGTGATTGACTCAATCCAACAGGAGGAGGTCATGTGTGTCGACACAGATACGAGATGGACTACAGGGAGCTCAGATGGGCAGACCTGGACCACATCTTGGCAGGTGGACTCGAAACCTTTGATGCATCTGTTCAAAACAAAATGAAACTCCAGCTGTTGGATGCGGCTGGTTTCACATCATCTTGCCACAGATGAAAGGGAGACACTTGTCGCAGGGGGCGTTGATCCACTTCTTGTGCACTGAAACACAAAAGATGATCAGAGAATGTGGACTTCAGGGATTTCAAGCTGCACGTGCAAAGACAACGTTTACCGCAATGAAGCATGTTTGTTGGAGTTGAAAGTCAATTTAGAATTTAGTCGTGTTAGCACGCTGGATCTTTTAGAGAAACAGAAAATGACGCACTAACGTCCATTTAGAGTCAAACAGACCATAAAGCAGGGGATGCTTTAGGGGTGGGGCTACACAGTGATTGACAGGTCTCCACCAGAGACGTATACGCACTTCAACCAAAATGTTTAGGATACAAAAACCTTGAACAGCACCGAGAGGCTACAGGACGATATGATGAGAGACAATCAGCTGATACTGACCGGTGGAAACAGCTGATACATTAATGCAAAACACAATCTTCAAAAACCAGAGCGAGGGGGGGATTTCCCAGGGTTGAAATATCTAAAAAAAGTTATTGTGTGTGTGTGTGTGTGTGTGTGTGTGTGTGCGTGCGTGTGTTTGCGTAGTTCATTACATCCATAGTTCATCTCCAGACAGCGCTCGGTTTCATTCATCCGGTAGCCTCGGGTCCAGTTTTCATAGTCAAACTTGGAGCCGTCACTCCACAGCCAAGCATTCAGCTGTGGATACAAAGACACAAACAAACATACGGATATACAGGAAATACATCAGTTTAAAATAAATAAGCAACTTTATAAATTTACAATTGAAAGGTGTTGTTATTGGACCACATTGAAATCTTAAAGTTTGTATTTTGTAGTTTTGCCATTTAGAACAAATTCAATTCCAGTTCATTTCTCCAGCAAAAGACTTCCTCACATGGACGGCGTCGGTGGCGCCGATCCAGGTCAGGGGGAAGCTGTGGGTGCCATCTTCGGTCAAAGACTGGAGGAAGTGGTTCTGCTCATAACTGTGGATGGACACCAGGTTGCCCCCTACAAACAGACAGTATTTCTGGAGGGGGGGTAGAGAGAGAGAGAGAGAGTTCACACATCTGGTTTGGTTTGGTTTGAAACGCCTGAGCGGCGGTGTCGCTCCTCACCTCGGCTTCAATCCAATTCTTGTTGCTGTTGATGAAGATGAAACACTCATGCTCATAGTGGGTCCAGCCGTACGGGCAGTAGGGCTCCATCTCCATCTCCATGTCTACACAAGAAGAGAACACATTTTTAATCTTGTACTCACGTTCACAATAAGTCTTTTAATAACACAATCACCAGCTTGTGTTCATTTACTGTAAACTGATTCATGTCATTACAGTGCTAGTGTTCTCTGTGACAATGCTTTGTATTGTTGTCAACAACACGGGCAACAGATGGCGCCAAACTCAACGTGAAATTCATTCAAGTGTAGATAAACTCCTGTCTCTTAATCATGTAGAAAAATGATATATATATATATACATATACTAAATGAAGAGATGCATGAAGTGAAGTTAAGGTAGGATACAATATATATTTTTTAAATGAAGCTGAACATGGAAACCTAATATAAACCTCATACGTGTACTGAAGTACAGTACTTGAGTAGATGTACTGTGTTTCGTTCCCGTGGGCGTGGCCCTGCGGGACGTACTGACCCATGGGGTGGGGTTTGTCCATGTTCTCGTGATTGCCCCGCATCATCATCATCTTCATGGGGTACGTGCTGTTGAGCGGGACGGCCCGGCTCAGGGTCAGGAAGAAGCCGAGTACCAGAGACACGCTGAGGGCCTTCATGGTGATGATGATGATGATGATGATGATGAAGATGAAGAGGGAGGGTCGACTGTCAGAACACAGCAGCAAATAGTCAAATATAATAAAGCAAAACTATTGAATAACAACCAGTTACCTCTTTAATAACCGACGGTTTAACGTATTATTTATGTGTATTAAGTATACATGAGGTACAGGAGGGAATCACTTCATGTATTTCAGGAGGAAATACTCGTTATTCTACTACATGTATTTCCTTTTCCTGTATTTAAACCTCGCTGAGATTAAAATAACTCTTTTATTATTGTATTTTTAAGAGCTCCGTCACACACGACACAAGAGTGTCACAAACAAATGTACATAAACAGGTTTGAGTCAAATACAATGAATAAATACTGCAAAATAAATAAAGTGCAATACTGGCCGGCAGTATTTCCCCCCCGAAGCCAAATTCCTTTTGATTTCCTGCACATGCATGTACACAACTTTGCAAGTTATACACAAAAAAACACATGATATGATGTAATATTATAGATTAAACTAAACAGCAGTTAAAATAAGCTCCATCTTGGTGGGACTTGTACACTTATATACATATATATACATATACACATATAAATGCATGCACACACAGGAGCACATGAAATGAATGCATGAATGAAGTTTACCTGTCTCAGGATCAGCCGCTGTGTGTTGAGGCGTCTCTGCTGCTTCGGCCTTTTTATCCTGCAGATCAGACGCAATCTGCCGAGTCATCGCTTTAGTTTCCCACACAGATCTGAGGTCAGACTTTACCAGAGCAGACGTCTCCTCATTCATGCATTGTATGCGTGTGTGATGCTATCACTGAGTTTCATGTTTCATCTTTTTATTGCTCGCTCGGTCTCGTCTGCTTCTTCTTCTCTCGTCTTATGGGTTTGTCCTCGACCTCCTTCTGCATTGTTTCTAATCTGGGTTGCAGATTGTTGTTTGACACCGATGGAGACGTGGCTGGATCACTTCATATCACATCCTCCAGCTCGAGCAACACAAGCTGTGTGTCGTTGTTTAAGGATCACACCTCAACCCTCAGAAGGAGCGGGTTCAGTATCACCGGCAGTAACCGAAGCCCGCCCACGTCAAAGAGAAGCCCACACGGACACGGAGATCGTTTTCCTCAATCTTTTAATGAAATTTTGTCCACATGAGAGGTCAGATATGAATGAATGAAGACATAACTAGCTATAGCATGCTCACAATATTCTTCTCTGGTGTGTGACGAGGAACATATCCGTTTAAACACACGTCTACTCGTGTAGACGGGCCTTTATTATGTTCACTTAATCCTGTGAGGAGCTCATCTACACTCTCAAAAAAGTATAAACTGCAAAAGATTGGGATTTTGATTTTGCACAAATTTGCAATTTATACTTTTTGTGGGAGCATAAACATAGTTCCACCCTTGAGCCCTTTACAGGTTAAAGCAGCAGAGTGCACGTGGAAGTTCTGTAGATCACAAATAAAAGTCAAACGACGAGTCGATACTGTAAAATAAAGAATAGATTATTCTACATCATTTCATATCTGCACGCTCTGAAGCTGTCTCTACGTTCAGCTCTGCTCGTCCTTCATGCCGTGCGGTACATTATTAAACTCTTACTTATATATTTGATATTTGAAACAAAAGATGAAGATGATCACAAGCAGCACAACAACTTCCTGTGCAGACAGGAAGTGCATAAGCTCAACAAGCATTACACAGAATCATCATCCATCCGTCTGCTGGAGACCTGGATGCCTTTTTCTTTTTCTGCATATTCACTTAAATACATACATATATATATATATATATATATATATATATATATACACACACACATATGATATGATGATTTATATGATATATGATCATTGGCTAAATAAAAGATATTTCTTTTAAAGTTACAAAAGTAACCCGAAGATCCAGACGAGAAGCTAAACGATGTAACCCAAAACTCACGAGCGGATTATCTGCTAATATACAATAACAATAATGAATCAAATAAAAGCCTCTGCGGCTCTGCAGGAGTACATCATGCTAATATAATCACTGCTAACATAATATTACTGAATCATTGTCAAATCATCTCAACTGAGCTTATCGTGCAGCAGCAGTTATTCATCTATATAATAACATCATACACAATGATTGCTTCACTAATAATCACTTATTACTCGAGATTCTTCCACCAGGGTGGAACTACACTTGAGCACGTTGTAACGGGACGTGGCGCCACCAGCTGGCCGGGCGGGGGTAACAGTGGAGCGGACTGTGGAGCACTAACACCACGCTGACGCGGGTCAGCACCGGTTAGTCGCGATCTGCGTCACATCTCCTCCTGCGAGTCAGAGCTCAGTCCCATCAGACAACGCACACATCACACACGTGCTCCACGTGCACTGTGACCTACACCGGCTGTGGACGTCGTTACTTCCAATGTGCACCGGACAGTAAACCTCCGTGCACGCGTTCAGAGATCACGGCACCGCGTTGTTCAGAGCTGCCTGAGGATCCTCGTGATCTGAAGCTGTGTTGAGTATCAAAGTAGTCCCGTGACAGCGGTCTGTACGTGCGCGGGTTCACTGCGAACAGGAGCTCGTACTGGTGCATCCGGTGTACACGGAATGGTGCTGATTTACCGGAGCGTAACGATATGTTGGGGACAACGCGTTACGCACAGCGGCTGCTGTGCGCCACCGTGCTTCCTGTTCACGTCCCTCCGGAGGCCGCACATGTAGCGAACTGTAGTTCCAGAAGTAAAAGTAACAATAAATAATAATACATAATGACATAATGCATTCATGTGACGGTGAAGAAGTGGACACAGATTATAAAAACCAAAGTGAAAAACACCATGAAGATCAAAGCTACAAACCTTTACATCAATACAATGATCCGTTTTTCCTGTGAGAGGTTTAAATAAATACCTCATTTCCAAATTGAACAGATATATTTCATATATTTCCAAACCACACACACAGATTGTTTACTGGATTCTCAATAAATCCCTCCAGCTCAACACATATGAAATACTCACATTCCTGTATGTCCTCAGAGCGTTTAAGTTTACAGAAAATACAAAAGAAAGGGTCCGTACCACCACAGAAAAGAGGATTCTGCAAAGCGTGCACTACATGTTCTACCACGTCTAGTTCTTTTTATGTTGTAGAGAAGCCTGTAGATTACTGGAGAACAGAATACTGGTTTGCTGAGACAAGACTCAAGTCCTTGTGTGGGGGAGAAATGGCGACCGTAAGAAAATCACAGTTCGGAGGTGGAAACATCGTTTCTCTTCTCAGAAACCAGAGTGTTGAAGCGAAGAAGCTCTTGACTTCAGAGGACATTGTGAGAACCAAAGGCCAGACTTTAAATCATATGAATCAGATGTTTTACAGTTAAATTCTGCTGTAAATTGTGTCTTTGTGGAGTTTATTCTGTGTTCTGTGTTTTAATGGTGGTTTTGTTGGCGCATCACCTTGTGACAGCGATTAAAGGATTTAAAGTATTATCAGCTCTTCTGTCATACGTTCCTTTTCTTTGGCTTTGAACGACTGTGGAGTTATTCATGTATGCTAGTGAACCTTGACGTCTCTCTGAACGGGGTCAAAGGGGAAGTGTTGGCTGGAGCAGAGACCACAGCCTGACAGATGTCTCTGTGGTCACGGTGCTGAACCTACAGCGGTGACAGTGTGTTCTGTAACACAAAGCACATGCAACACAATACAACAATGTGCTTCTTCTATAGAGTCATAATCAATAAGGAGTTCAGCGTAATTCTTCAGATAGACATCACAGTTTAGCACAAAAGTCAAACTGATATGTCCTCACTCTGATGTCATTGGACCGTATATGAGTTAAAGAATATGCAAAAGATCCTTTCATGCACTGATGCATTTTTACAAACACACATGTTTTCATGCTCACTACCTCTTTTCAGGCTTTCAGCCTCAACCTTCTACTTCCTCTCCTGACGGTCATGAAGCTGTTTCACTGCTTCTCTTGTCTTTTATCATTTTAGAAAATCAGGAAACAACCGGTAACCCAATGCAGACCTTCCTACAACAAAACATGAAGTTCATGTCTGAGAGTTTGACTTATCGATTGTTATCATTGTTCCGTTATATAACAGCAGAAGTCGTCCGCTTGTTTCACAGATAATTTAAAGAATAAAGGAAACACAGGAGGGCTATAAAACACAATGAATGCAGTGTGGGAACTCTGACACACACAAATATATATATATATATATATATATATATAATAAAATCTATATATATATATAATAAATATTAAAATATATATATATAATAAAATCTATATATATAATAAAATATATATATATATATAATAAAATCTATATATATATAATAAAATATATATAACTTATTTCTAACCTGTAATAATGGTAATGATAATAATAACGTTGATAGACCCTCATCTGATGGCTGCTCCACTAACGCGCCCTAGCGTTGAACATGAGGTTTATACGAGTCATAATAAATGTTAAAGACTTCCTCTTTTGTCAAACCAGAGTTCCTCACTGAGTTTCCTTCACTCTGCGTGTCTCTCCTCTTGATGCTCGTTCACTTCCCTGCTCTGTTCATCCACTCGATCGCTTTCCTTCCCTGCAGGATGGGACAGTCGAGCAACCTTCACTCCACCTTCCTCCTCCTCCTCCTCTTCCTCCCCTCGTGCTGGGGTCAGAGGCCGTCCTGCAATCGCTGCGACCTGCGACTCTTGTGCAACTGCTCCCACGGCGGATTGACCCGCGTCCCCGCGGTACCAGAGGGCGCCCTGACTCTTGACCTGTCCTTCAACGACATCACCGTGGTGACGGGGGACGACCTGACGGGACACGCGAGGCTGGGGTCTCTGAGTCTCCATGGTAACGTTGATTAACAGACAGAAGGATAGATCAAAGGCTTCTCTGTGACATGAGGCACGAGCAGCAGATTCACTTCTTCACCATGTTAGTGTACTTAAGGAGGCAGGACACGTTTTATGACAATATTTGTGTTTAACTGGATTTCTACTCTATTAGACAGACTATTTTTGACAAGATTATATATATAAATATATATATATTTATATATATGTATATTGATATTTATGTATGTATTGATATATATATATTTATTTATATATATTAATGTATATTGATATTTATGTATATATATATATGTTGGAGGTAAGGTTTGTTTTGTCATTTGCCATTAGTTTAACATTAATCTACAAATGAATTTATTTTTATTAATTATATTAGCGTTAAATATAACATTGAATACATTTAACGCTAATAATAATAATGAATGAAAGGTTTTGAGATGTATGAATTATAATATAAATGACAAAACAATCTTACCTCCAAGCTCCATTCAGCAGCTGTTCTGGAGCTTTTGATCATCTCACATGGTCTTCATCGGTCGTGATGGAACTGAAGATGTTCACGCTCAGGACTTCTCCATGTTTTGCTGTGCCTAAGGTCAAGAATGAACTTAGAAACTGCAGCTTTTAGAGGAGGATTCAGGGGATCTACTAGCAGAAATGTAATCTAACATTCATAACTATGTCCTCATTAGCGTATGATCACCTGAAACTAAGAATCTTTGTGGTTTCATTAGCTTAGAATGAGCCCTTCACATCCACATAGGGAGCGGGTCCTCATCACAGAGTCCACCATGTTTCCACTGGTGTCAGTGTGTGAAATACCTGATGGCAATCGAGGGGACCCATCTCCGCCGATACCACTTGGACCCCCCTAGAGCCCCGTATTTCGCACACTGGCTGTAGCCTACTTTTTGTAATTGACATTGGACAATGATGACATATGACTGAGTCACTCATCAGGACAGGGATTCTTTAGCCCTCCTCCTGCCGACTCTGCCATCTAGAGGCTGTCGAGGTTTTTAAAAGTAAACATCGGAGTAAAGACAGAGGACAAGGTGGAGAAGACAAGCAGCACCATCTCTGTGTCCATCTCTATGTTCATCTCCACCACAGAGGAGGCACAGACTCAAACGTGCAGGAATTAAACACCGCTTGCACTCCTTAGCCACAAGGATCTTCTCTGCCAGGCATCACTGCAACAATAATAACATTAATGACAATTGATGATAATCAGTGGTCCACTGATTGAACCCTGGGGAACGCCTAGAGTGCCGGATGTTTTTACATGTCGATATTACTGTCCTCCAGGTAACAAACTAGCTGTGATCCATCCGTCAGCGTTTGACTCTCTGTGGAGCCTGGAGGAGCTAGATCTGTCTGACAACCAGCTGACTGCTCTCAACCACAGATGGTTCAGCAAGCTAGGAGCTCTACAGGAGCTCAACCTGCTCCACAACCCCTACAGGTGAAGCACTCAGGTTACAGTTCAAAGGCCGAGCAGTGACAATGCAAATCACATTTGATGTTCGTGGTTTGTGTGTCTTGTGTCCTCCAGCTGCCTGGGTTCTCCTCCAGTGTTTCAGAGGCTGGTCAGGCTGAGGAGGCTGAGGTTTGGAGGTCCTGCTCTGGAGGAGCTAAAGAGAGGAGATCTGTCTGGAGTCACTCAGCTGGAGGAGCTCACTGTGCACGCCAACAACCTGACGAGGTGAAGGACTGACACTGTTTGTGTGTTTATGTTGTTGCACGAGAGTCAAATGTCCTAAAAAGGAAAATAAATGTATGTATATATATATAAATGTAGTATGTATGTATGTATGTATGTATATGTAGATAGATAGATATATTACACTGGGAGACAGCACAGAACATTCTTGTCTGTGTAGCAACTTCAAATATAATTGATTCTAATGTTTTATAAGAGAAAATACCAAAACATGATAAGAGCTGATGCAGCTGATTCAGGAGTTTGAAGAGTCAAATTCGATGTGGTTCTTATGGTTATCCTCTCGGCCCTGTCATTTGTGATAACATCACATTATCCACATTAATCAAATTGATTATAAATGCAGATGATGAGGGAAAGTATAACGTATAAGCAAGATCAAATATAAGGTTGGTGTCAAAATATTAAAAGGGCATCGGCTCCATGCGGTCGGGCAGAGAGTACGCTAGAGGGAACCTCATCACGCTTTTTCCACTGGAAGAACATCCTAACTAGAGGGAACCGCACCGTTTTAGTGCACTTTTCATCAGGTTTTCTTCAATGGAAGGGTATCCTAGAGGGCTCTTTATCACATTTTCTCCATTGGATGGGCACTCTAAAGGTCACTTCATCGCGTTTTCTCTGATGGAAGGGCATCGTAGAAGGCTGTTTTTCATGTTTTATCAACCAGAGGGGCATCCAAGAGGGCACTTTCGCTGCAGTTGTAAATGTAAGGACCAAAGACTGAAGCCCTGAATATTGAATCCACAGTCTGCCCTTCCCTTTAAAGGATCTTACTATTCCCCATCTTCCACTTAACCTCTCCTGTCTCTCTCCCTCTCTCGCTGCAGGTATGAAACCGGTACGCTAGCGGACGTTTGGCCGCTGGGTCGTGTCACTTTGAGCCTCCGTGGTCCATTTTTAACGAACGTAGCCTTAGCCTCGGCTGTGCTCGGGGACGTGTCATACCCTGAGACGTGGATCATTCTGGAAGATCTCCATCTGATGAGGAATCAGTCTGTTCAGCCCTCCAGAGAGGTGACCAGGAGGAGAGTCAGGTCTGTCTACAATCTGTTTTTCTTTAATACTCGCGTTCATGCAGAATTCCTAATGAAGCACTGATGAACACAATGATAGGGCTGAGAGGGCAGTCGATGCTGTAATTATGAGTGTGAAACTCTCAATAATAAGAAAGTGCCTGAACATAAGAGAAAAATAATAAAGAGAAATAAGTGCAATACTCTTAATGTACAGTATATTTGCAGTCACCAGCACGTACCTTTTACTCCTCTACTTTCTCCATTTCAATGATTTACAGCTTCGGTTGTACAGCGGTACTGTCACTATATCCTGACAGTAGTACATGGGACAGACAAACTGTGAAAACAGTCAGATTCCTCTGCCTTCTCTTAGTGCTCCTAAAGGCACTTGCAAGTGTCTGCCGTGCCTGAAGGAAAACACCCAATCAGAGTCAGGGATTCTCTAAAGCAGCTGTCAATCACTGCAAGCAAACTGTCAAACTATGGGAAGCATTGATCAAATTTGAGATTTGAGATATTTAAACGTAACATTTCAGTAAATTTGTAATACAAAAAACAATTGTCTTAATGATTGTAATCAACAGGGGAAGTTTAAAGGCGTTATACATTTTTGGGGTGTAAAAATGTAAAATCGGTTTGGCAGACAAACCAACCAGTCGCTCCTCTATGATGTCTCTCTTCAGGAAAATGACCTTACGTAACGTTTCTGTGTCCGATGAGGCCATTGCTGACCTCCTGGTGGCGGTGGATGGGGCGCCGCTCACCTCCTTGTCCGTGGACGACGTCACACTGACAGGCGAGGGCAGGTAGGAAACCAGCACGGCAGCACGATCTAGCAAATTCATTGACGCCAACTTTCTTGCTAGATTTAGAGACTTTTTTGTCAAAAGGCGCCTAGCGACAGTTCTAGTGACCTTTTGGGACGGGCCTTAATTCGTCTCATTTGATGAACACCAGTGTTCAGGCTAAGAAGCAGCACGTTTAGTCAACCAATCAGCAGCCCGGCAGAAACATAAACGAGCTGCGAATGTACGTACCTACTGGGTAGTTTAATGGTTTGTTGTTTCTCCGTTGGTGTTAGGTGGGAGCGAGCCAGATGGACAGACCATAAAAGCATTGACGAGTTCTTCCTACGAAATGTCAAAGTGCTGAAAGTCTTTCAGTTTGCCTCCCTTCTGGGGCTGCAGTTTCTGCTGCAGTACCCCAGGAAGTTGTCCGTCATAAACAGTCAGGTAAGGACGGTGTTATCTGTCTCGTGCGATAGCTACATCAATCCACTACATAGCTGGAGCAAGGAGTCCCGATTGTAAGATTGAAATTAAGAGTGTGGTTTTAAAGTCAGAACTTTTACCCTCAGGTGTTTGTGTTGCCCTGTCTCACGTCCCGCCTGCTCGTGAACCTGCAGTACCTGGACCTGTCCGACAACCTGCTGACTGACCTGACTCTGGTGGAGACACTGTGCGATGGAGACGGCACTCTGAAGGACCTCAGAGTTTTGAACCTCAGTGGAAATGCTCTGAAGGTGCCTTTGTGAAACTTGAAAAAACTGTCTTTATTTTTTTGTGGATTTTTTGTTAATTCGTACTTCCTAGCTACAAAGAAGTCCAGCTAGCGGCACTTGAGAGACAATGTGTTGTTTAACCACAGAGGAGTAGTACTCCTACTGACTAGTAACCTGATAATCACAAGTAAAATCACTGAGGTGCCAATAAAGTATAAATCCAAGAATACGTAAAAAAAAAAAATTTGGAGATGAATACCTGCTTCCTGAAGACTCGTCTGCTTCTGTCTTCTCTGCTGTCCAGTCTTTGTACACGATGAACCAGCAGGTAACAAAGCTCTCCAAACTGACCCACCTGGACATCAGCCGGAATGGATACAGCTCCATGCCCCAGGGCTGCTCCTGGCCCTCCACCCTGCGATACCTCAACATCTCCAGGGCCAAACTTACTACCATCACTCCTTGTTTACCTGCAACTCTGGAGGTACTGAAAGTGAAAGTGGACCATGTAGCAGTAATCCTGACAGTCAACCTGACACACACACTGCAGCAAACACCACTTTTATCTTGTGCTTTATCACATACAGGTGTTGGATCTGAGCAACAACGACCTCAAGGGCTTCACCCTGGTCCTGCCTGCCCTGAGAGAGCTCTACCTCTCTGGGAATAAGTTACTGAGGCTGCCCCCTGGATGGCTGTTCCCCAATCTGCAAACACTGACAATACAGGTAAGGACCAATCACTCAATCATACATTTCTTCTTCCAGTCCTCTTTGTATTCCCCCAGTGTGACCCCAGTGTGTTCTCCCACAGTCGAACACCCTGAACATGTTCGACCGTTTGGACCTCCAGTCGTACAGGCGGCTCCAGGACCTCCAGGCGGGTCAGAACAAATTCGTCTGCTCCTGTGACTTTGTCTACTTCTTCCAGTCGGCCGTTCAAGGAGGTGGAGGCGTGCATTTGACAGATGGAGAGGAGAGCTACGTCTGCGACTCTCCTCTCTACCTGCAGGGGGAACCGGTGGGTCGAGTCCAACTCTCTGTTGTCGTGTGCCACCGGGTTTTGTTTGTGTCCGTGAGCTGTGGGGTGGCACTGGTTATAGGGATACTGGTGTGTGTCCTGCTGTGGCGCCTCCATGCGTTCTGGTACCTCAAGATGATGTGGGTGTGGCTGAGGGCCAAGCATAGCTCCCGGGAACGGCGGCAACGCAGAGATGGAGCAGAAACGGAGGAGTTGCTGTCCTACGATGCCTTTGTGTCCTACAGCGAGAGAGATGCGAGCTGGGTGGAGAACTTCTTGGTACCTGAGCTGGAGGAGCCACGGTAATGTTGATCTATATCTTTAAAACATAATAACGTTCTACCGTTTGTTTATCTGTTTGTTAGTTAGCAGGGTATCTCAAAAGCTCAAAAAGTACTTACCAGATTTCAGTGAACCTTGGTAAAAAAGTTAGTTTGGCACAAGACGATGAGCAGAGCCCACATCAACTTTTAGTTAAAAGACTTTTGGAAATTTCAGATTTTTGACAAATTACCATTCCAATAAATTTCATGCGATATTTACCAAATATGGCAAAGATTAAAACATTACCTTCTCTCTGGTTTATACTCCAGGGAGAACGATGAAGACTCTGTGAACCACAGAGCCCCCCGACCTCTGACCCTGTGCCTCCACAAGCGGGACTTCCTTCCTGGACACTGGATTGTGGACAACATCATGAGCGCTATGGAGCGCAGCCGGCGCACCGTCTTCATCCTCTCGGAGAATTTTGTCCAGTCGGACTGGTGCCGCTACGAGCTGGAGTTTTCCCACTTCCAGCTGTTCGATGGCAGTGCCGGCGAAGATGCGGCCATCTTGGTCCTGCTGGAACCGCTGTCCAAGGACGACATCCCCAAACGCTTCTGCAAGCTGCGCAAACTCATGAGCTCCAGCACCTACCTGGAGTGGCCTCAGGAGGAGGAGAAGAGTGGGGAGTTCTGGAGGAAACTCCGCCACGCTTTGAGAGAAGAAGATGAGGATGACTGAGAGAGAAAGACGATCGGCTTTCATCAGATCATTCTGGTTTCTTCCACCCTTTGTAGATTTAAGGGTTTGATCAACTCAACTTTGTTCAAATAATGATGTAAAAGAAAACAGCTGATGAATGACAAAATTAAATTGTTTGCCTAACATAGATCCCATTGTCTTCTTTTTAGTAATACATTCTTTTAATTAATAAAATCCTTTAAAACTTGTAATGCATTTAATGTGTAACCTTAAAGATTGAGAAAAACACACCTTTGCCTGAACTGCACAGCAATCAACCAACCTTTACAATTATCTAAATCAATGAAAAGTTAGAGTAGACCTTAAACTTGCATTAAAAGTAAAAGTGTTTTGCAGCTCCATGTGCTGGTAGTGTGGTGAGATGGCCACTTGGGGAAGCTGTTGGCTTGTGATCGCTGCTACAACCTGAGGACGTCGTCAGTGGACGTGAAACAGATTTTGGGAACATTAAGAAGCTGCAGCACTTGAAAATTAAATGAAATCAGGAAAAGTAACAGCTGTGAGGACCAACATTATTGTTTAAGTTAGGTTTGTTGGGAACAACAATAATACAAATTGATGACAGAAAACAGATTGAGAAGATAATCAAACAAGTGACATTTAATATAATGCAAACAGAATTCATCAGGAGGCTGAAGGTCACATGGGTAAAAAAAGTAAAAAATGTAAAAAAACACAGTAAGGCTAGGATACAGAAGTAATGATATGAAAGAAACAAACAATGAACAAACTCAAAGTTTAAAAAGTTACAATACTACACCCCGTTCCCCACCACAGGGGATATTATATTTACAGTAGCTGATTAAAGAAACCAACATGTTGTCATCCAGTTCACTATATTCGAAAATACACTTAAAAGAAACAAGAAAGTGGAGCATAAAAATGTGTTCAGTTGACAAACAAAGGATTTAGCGAGTCGGTCACTGGGAGAATAATGACTTCATGAACTACAAAAATAACCAATGCAGCCATAGAACTAGAATAGGAGTAGAACTGTTTTCTGTGTTCACTGACAAGTACAAAAGAAAATGGGGATTGTTTTTACTTGTTATGGTGACAACACAAGCCAGTGGGGCCGAGAGCGGATTCAGCTTGAAACTTATTTGAAATACATCAACAGCAATCGTAATCCACGATAAAATGCACTTTCCTCGAAACGTAACAGGTGAGATTACAGTTAAAAGTACTCATTCAAATAAACACATTATAGCTGGAGGGGATACATTTCCAGCATATGTGAAAAGTCAGTACAAAAGAAGAGGCACGAATTAGGAATCATAAAAATGTCAACTAGTAATATGATCCACTGGACAGGTTATGACAATTTCCTGCAGGAGCCCCTAATTACATGTTAAAATGTCATTGGCTCGGAGGTGTCCTCTGGGTCGTCAGCGTCTGCCTGGTCGTCAGCGTCTGCCTGGTCGTCAGCGTCTGCCTGGTCGTCAGCGTCTGCCTGGTCGTCAGCGTCTACCTGGTCGTCAGCGTCTGCCTGGTCGTCAGTGTCTGCTTGGTCGTCAGTGTCTGCTTGGTCGTCAGTGTCTGCTTGGTCGTTACTCTCTGCTTGGTCGTCACTCTCTGCTTGGTCGTCAGTGTCTGCTTGGTCGTCAGTGTCTGCTTGGTCGTCACTCTCTGCTTGGTCGTCACTCTCTGCTTGGTCGTCAGTGGAAGTTGCATACAGTACCTTCTTTAGGTCTGGGTTTCTCTTTGCTTCTTTCGCAACTCTCTTCAACATCGCCTCATTTCCGTTTTGCTTCAGCTGACTC